CCGCATTTAATATTGCCGATCTGAAATTGTACTAAGTTAACAATCGACGGCGGCATTAGTGACACCTACCGAAATTCCATCATTGGAGGTGTGGTTAGATGAAGTATTCCGCTCAGGCGTTCCAAAATGAAGTAAAGAGGGCAGTCGAGCAGCTCCTCAAATATTACATTAAGTACACCCTGTATTCGTCTCACAGTATTAAGGTGCACAGGCGCTTCTGTTACGACTTTTTGAACAAAGTCTGGATTGTGGATTGGAGCTGACCAAATAGGACCACCTAACTATATGCAGTAGAATTAAATTGTTTTGTCTATAGCGATTCACTCAGTATCATAACAAAAATACAGTCCAATTTTTGATAGAGAATGCCCAAATGTAAATTTACCTTATTATTCTCCAGATATTAATGAGGGTAAGCTCTTTCGGAAGGCTTTAAATTTGTACTAGTGGATTTACGATCATGGTATGGTTTGTTTTACTTGAGTTTGTATCTCAGTGTTTGGTTTTTGTTTTTGTAAATGCGTAATTTTGATTTTTAGATAATTATCTATTTATTTAATTTTCTGTAACTTTTTTTATTATTTCATTGTTTGTCGACGGCCTGCGTACCTGATGTGTGTAAAAACAAGCTCTGAATGCTTTTCTTTCTTCCAGCATTGTTGCTTTAATTTCTTTTATTTCGCGGAATAATTTTTTTTCTTTGTTTAATCGAACCCAAAGTGCAGCCCAGATAGAGTTTTCATTCAGATTTTTCTATTCATGTCCAAGCGTTGTGCTGGTATTAATGGAAATTTGTGTAGTTAATTCTTTAGAATTTTCGGAAGTTGATCGAGGCTACCAAGTCTCCAAATTTATTAAGTCAAAATTGAAATTTTACATTGTGACAGGAGTCGAGCGTCTACAAGGAAAATACTTACAATCTAAATTTGAAGGTTGTTTTAATTTGAGCTAGCTGGATACGTGTTTTGTGGGTGGCTTAGTGCCAGTTTGCCATTGCACACGGCAATATTTAAGTACAGGGTGTCACAAATCACTTTCATTGAAAAATTAACCCGAGTATTTTTCACATGAAATTTCAGTGTGATTTAATAATAGAAATCCAATAGTGACAACAACCCCGCACATTTGTACTGCATTTTTGATAATATAATGACGCATTATGACCAAACGTGACTACTTACCAAGTGTGAATGTTGACAATGCTCACACTGTGAATTAACTGGAGGACCTGTCGGTAGTTTAAACTTCACTTGTTTATTATCGGCCGTCTTTAAAACACCCAAGGGTGATAATGTGAAAGTCTCGCATCCGTTACATTGGTAAACCATTGATAACTTGCTAACAAATGTCAGTTAAGCACGGTTAAAATAGCGCATTCTAAATACCTTGTAGAAAATTTACATTTATGTGCACCAGTATAGATTTTCACAAACACCCTGATATAAAAATCGGCCGACAGGGATAAAACCGGCTCAATGTACCTGCCATATCTGTTCGCATGTGACTCGATGCACTGTAGCAAAATTCGTAGTGCCTGAAAACCAATCGTAATAATGTTATACAATTGCGAGTCAAAGCTACCATTTCGTAACAACACTTGGTACGTAATGATATGGCCCCATATTTACTGTAGCACGTCTCTGGAGAATTTCCCGCCAGTACAGCCATATCGGTGGCGGTAACTAAAAGCAGGCCACCATCACAAACGGCTTGAACCGCTGAATCTAGAAACCTTGACGGGCAACCGTATGGATCTAAGTCGACAACATCAAACTGTTGCTCCTTCGAATGATGCTCGTACATTAACATTCTGAAAATGCCTCCATACAGTCTGCACGAAACATTGACATACTCACATAGCATCATTTTCCGAAGCCACGACCAATTCCTCCACCTGATTATCCCTAACATTGTCTCTTATCGCGGCAACTGCATTTCTCGATATGTCGTTCGCCACAATCTCGCTAACTCCGCAAATTTCTTTCGCATAACGAATGCTCCTCAGACCGGTCGCCGATAACGCCTCCAAGATTCGAATACCGCCCTCGTGCTTGACACCCGCCTCCAGTTTGTCCGATTTGCAGTGTTCCCTCGCGAACACGTTCAACACTGAAATGCTGTAGGAAACTAAGCAAATTTTCGGCACGACGAGAGATCGGATACCTGAGATCGCGATTGAATTCCTGCACGGGATTGTAGAAAACGTTCCCTGATACTTTAATGCTCGCTCGACCTTCATTAATTGTTTGTTGGTCAGTAGCGGTCGACGGATCCGGTTTTTCTTCCATAGTAACGATGAGGGAACGTACAGCTTGACGAAGGTGATTTAAATTCAACGCTCTAATTTGTGAACGAGACGTAAGTAACATCAATTAAACAAATTGTAATATTGTATCCTTTTGCTATTTATTCTTCAACACAAATTATAACCTAAATTCCTGCCTGGATGATGGGATATTAGGTTATGTTCAAATTCAAAATAGCAGTGGCTAGCATATCCACAAGGGATGCAAATGCGCGCGCCGCCGAATGAAAAGTAACTGGACGCTCATTGGTCCATCTCAGTTTATTTCGTACCGCGGGTTCAGATCGAGGGGGCGTATGCATAAGCTGATCCACATCAATTTTAAAGATAATTAATTAATTTCTCTTTACAAAATGGAATTTTTGATTGGTTCGGGGTGTGTAAAAGACCCTATTAGGTCTTACAAAAATCTGAAAGGTGCTATATACTTAAAAACGTTGAAAATCCTAGAAAGACTTCAAGGATCTTTGACCACTTTCTAGAAGTCCCTTCTCTCGGAACTCTCTACGTACTATTTAGGGACTAGAAAGCATAACAAGAGTTCAGAAATCTCCCACAAAGCACGTACCCCCTAAAACACGAACGTAAAAAGCTCTGAACAAGTTTAGAATGTTCTTTGTGGAGAGCATGTTTTGGTAAGGGTCTAGGAATCGGGTAATGACCTAAGGTGCTTTAGAGAAGACATAAAGCGGTCTAGGCTTGTGAATGATCTGCAAAAAAACACTCCTGTGGGACGTGTTCAAAAGATTTTTAAAATGCTCTTTAAAATCCTCGTCTTAAAGCTCTATAAAAAACGTAAAGGCAAAATGGCTTGCTTTAATCATCAAACGCCCTATAATTTCATGTAGGGCTAGGAGTGCTAGGACCACGAACTTATAAATTAAGATGGACTGCTAATGCAGAATTAACAAATGATGGGGGCCGCCATGATGTGCACTCACATGGCGCGAAATTCAAATCAACTAATAAGCAAGCAGTAACCCAACATTAACCTCATGTTTTCTAAATAAATTACTGTGACACTTGTCATTTTCCAAGGCTGCAATCTTAGAGAAGGGCTGCAATAGTCTCAAAACTTGAGCACTGGGAAAATTCCGCTAGAAAATAACTAAAATGTGCACATCATGGCGGCGCCCATGCTAGGGCCATTTCTACCTCTATGCAACTGTTTGATCAGCAGTCCATCTTAATTTATAAGTTCGTGGCTAGGACTAAGGGATTCAATGTCTCGAACGTATTAAATACAAGGATTTATATGAAAGAAAGTGTTAAGGTTACAGATACCACACCAAAAAAGTTCTGGAAGTTAAATTTTGGTTTTTAATGTATATACTGATGTATGTAAATACTGGTCTACTAACAAATGCAATAGTATCGAAATATCAAAAACATAAAGTTTAAATTGTAGTGTTAGTCAGGCTATGCAATTGTAGAGATTTTTTTAAATTAAAAAAACTATTCATGATTGCATGTATAATTCAACCCATTATCTGAACAAACCAACAATACAGATACCTATCACAGTTCCATATTGTTATAGTATAGGTAGGTATTTTGGCGTCACACACACCTTTCATTCCCCTATTATACACCCCCAAAAATAATTTAATTAAATGCACTAAAAATACACTATGCATACTGAGAAAATATGTTATCACAAAAATGAGGAAATAAATGCTGTATTCATGGCAATGAAATCACACCGACTCCGACACCACCTTCGTGTGCCATCATTGGTGCTGCGTAGGTCCACTTATCCAAACATGGATCGTACACTTCGACCGATACTAAGTTCGAGATCCCATCGTAACCACCTACTGCCCACAATTTTCCCATATTTGCAGTAAGAGCCACACGGCTTCTCTGGGCATTCATAGATGCTACATATGTCCATCTACAATGAGCAATTATAAATATTAGTGTGGCGCATGTAAAACGAACAGACTTATTCGTGTTGGGATCAAACATCTCAACCGTATGTAAGAAGCAACTGCCATCATAACCACCACAGGCATACAACTTCCCTCCTAAAATAGCCACGCCCAGTCGACACCTGAAAATACCATTTATTCCCCCCACTTTTAACAATTAACCAACCTTTTCGTCTGCATGGGCACAGCTTCAACCCATACGTCAGCAGCAACATCATACCGTTCCACCGAATCAAAAATAGACAAGCCATCGTGACCACCCAGTGCATACACATAACCTAAATCAATGTTAAAGGCTGTGGTACACGGTTAATCTTACCTTGGCATGCAATAACCGCGCCGGCGCTACGCGATTTATTCATGGGCGCTAGGGAATTCCACAAATTCGTTTGTGGATTATACCTTTCGACCGAATTTAGAGATGTCACACCATCGTACCCACCACACACGTAAATTAAATCTCCCAACGAAGTTGCCCCCAATGCACTAACAAATGGAAGTATAACAACGATCGCACAAATAAATACATTACCTCCTTTTACACTGCATAGGCGACACCGTAGACCATTCCTCTCGAACGGCATCGTACACCTCAACACTAGCCAGTCGATCCTTTCCATTGTACCCGCCGAACGCGTACAGTTTGCCGCGTAGCACGGCGACGCCAAGTCGAGATCTCAGCATCGACATAGGCGGCGCCAGCTGCCATTCGCCGGCGTGCGGATCGTAAAACTCGACCGTGCTCAGCGAATCGCCTAAACAAAATTATTAAACGTGACAGTCAGATTTGGAACTACCGATACCGTGTCGATTTAGTCCGCCTACTACGTAAATGTAACCTTGAGCCTCGCAGGTGCGCGGTTTCGTGCGAAAGCTCTGCAGCAGATGACGCCGTTCCGGTATTAAATGGAAAACGCGGGCCTCATCTAGAAGATCCCTGCAAAATTAATTAATCCCAGCTGCATTTATTTAGAATTGGGACACACTCGTGCAGAAGACCCAACTCAGAGCTTCAATTGAATTTTTAACCTAATATTTTTGTGCAGGACAAGGCGCTCCTCCGGTGGCGGATAAGAGAACACGATCTATGCTACCTAAATGTGGACTAAATATATAAAAAAATGGTCCTCTCTATTCTGCAGTCAGAGTTTACAATACTCTACCCTCGACTATGTCAAAGTGCAACAAAACATTTTTAAATTTAAAAAGGATCTGAAACGTGTTCTTGTAGAGAGATATGCTTCTACTCTCTAAATGATTTTTTTAGTAATGTAAAGTAATGCATTTTTTGACGCATCCTATGCACTACAATCATGTGTCCATGGAAGTAAAGAGTATTACTCGGAGTATTATTATTATTATTATGGGATGCCTGCGAAATTTTAATTGAATGCGCTGTATGTACCTACCAGTCTAACACCAGAATAAAGCTCATCATGCCTGTCAAAATGTATCCGTTAGCACCAAAAGATGGTGTAGTGATATAAACCAACCCCTGAAATGGGCAATATAGTGCACACAAGAACTGAAAGCTTTAATGTCCTTCAGAACCCATACAAAGATAGAACGAATGGCGCTCATAAAGTGGCATTATATAATTTATTTTATAGTATATGTTAAATGGACATTTTAATAGGTAAATGAGTAGTCCCTATTTAACCGTAAACGTATATAAAGTGATCACTTTAACCGGAAGTAAAACAGATGATTGTGCATTCTAATGACATCCATCATTCTTATTTCAAATGGGACACGGAGCACGATATAAAATGCTGTTTAGAACATATGACAATATGCTGTTTTTATGGAAACTCATACTTACAAGTTAACAATCAAAAGTGTTGTCGAGTTATTTTAACATACCTACACTGATGTGAAGTACGGATTAGTTCTTCGGTCGCAACACGGTCCGTCAAATATAAAGGAGAAAGTAAAGGTAATCGTATCTGCGCTAATAATACTGGAAGATCTGCAGCTCTACCTTCGGCGTGCTTTACCCACCTCATACAAGCTTCAAAAACTTGTTCCTCACTATCCGAGAACAATAAAAAAATCAATTTAAAGGAAAGCAATTGAATTGTGTAGGTACCACAAGTCAATAGCACTACATCAGATACCTTTCAACGCAGAGCTCGTTTCTTGTCAACAAACTTTGAACTTCGTTTAACGGTAAGTGTAAGTACTCCTCCGAAAGAGACACTTCTGGAAAACAATGCTCTATGTACTTTGTTGCCGATTCCACAAGCGACGTACAAGCTAAGGTGTCCGCAAACTGTCGAATGCCTAAAGCATTTTGAGGATGCAACCTGAAATCGCGTTCAGAATACAATCCGGCTTGGTCCACGGTTACTCACCTCTTCAAAAGGAAAGTGGCACACGCATCCCTGACTTTGTTAAGTTGTAAAAAAGAAGCGCCTATCATAATACTTTGAACATTATTCTTGTCCAAATGGACACGTCCCGAATACGCAAAATTGATTAGGGCCTCTAAAGAACTGCGTTACTTTAATTATCGCCGTCCCTCTAAATAATAAACCTTACTTCGCCTCAATTCCTTGCATTATGATCTCGTTCTGTCGACTTTCGATCATATCATTTGTGAACATCGCGTGGAAGTATGGAATTGTGGACGCCAAAACGATTTTATGTGCGCTAAATGCTTGGTCGTCAACCTGAAAGTACACGTTTCGGGTAAGTTAACAATCAACTCGAGCAACTACCTTCAAGACGACGTCGCACAATTTTCCCAGCCTTCGAATATCTTCCATGCAAGGAAAGGCATCAGAGAAAAGGTCGTTTTGTTGAAAAACCATGGAGTCGTTATTCATTTCGTAGATATTTCGAGAGCACTTCACCTCCGGCGGGGCCTCCAAGGTCCTTATCAATTTGCATTCCATTATTTTCGTTTTCGAATTTACGGTAACATAAAAATTTTATTATTTATTTATTTCTGTAGGCTAGATTGATTTTTAATACAATCGGGCCTGATCGTTTTTCTTCGCCGAAGTGTTCGGTTTTACCGGACCTCTGCCTGACGTACATAGATTAATCCCATTGGCGTGCGTAGCAATTCTCGAATTTGGTGTACCCAAAAACCATAGAATTTTTGAAATGCACTCGATGTCCCAATAATATACAGGGTATTCATTTCAAAACAAATCGCTAATTGTAATTTGTAATTTTGATAACAAGAAACAAAAATTGCAAAAACATGTCCATTTAGATAGCTATAGAGAGAATGAGTAGGTAATATAACAAATTAATAATCCCAGTGACACAAGACTATAAGATTATCTTAAAAAAATAAGCATAAAATCAATTACACTGCTGTCACATTAGTGGGTAAGGTGGGTTGCAGAACTATCAGGCATATCAATGCATTGACTTGTATATTTAAGAATTGAACATGGGAGATTTGTATGTTCAGAGTTAAAATGTACGCACTGGATAATCAGCCGAATCACGTTCCGGTAGTTGATTAGAACCTGCGGCGACAATACTATTAAATATTGATATTGAATACTAACAAAATATCGAAACTCTAGCCCTTAAAAGTCATAATTTAATACAATTAGGAATAACCTGGTTTAATAAGAACAACTTAAAATTAAATGAAGATAAAACTCACATAATTACCCTCTCCACAAACAATAAGGTTGCAACCGGCAGGTGTGTTAAAGTTTTAGGCATATATATTGATGAAAAACTCACTTGGAGCAATCACATTGATTTAGTTTTATCCCAAATCATTATTTATTTTAAGGAATTTAAAACGATCACTTTGTATAGCCACCCTAAGATCGTGCTATTTTCTTTAGTTCATTCACATTTACAATATGGTGTAATTTTGTGGGGTAACTCTTCCAAAGCGAGCAAGGCGTTTTTATTGCAAAAAAAATAATCCGTATAATCGTAAATGCTGACTATCGTGCTCACTGCCGACCTATTTTTAAAAAATTAAATATTATGCCTCTTCCATCTATTTTCATATATCACACCATATTGGAAATTCATAAAAACAAAAATAAATTTGAAACCAATGACTTCTCTCACAACTATTCTACACGAGGAGCAAAAAAAATAAAAACGCCCTATTATAAACTAAGTAGGTCTAAAAATAACAGTCTTAGGGTCGACTTATACAATATCGTTCCTGATTGTATCAAACCTTACAATTTTTATAAATTTAAAAGAGTCGTTAAGGCGCACTTATTAAGTCATTCTTTTTATAACGTTAGTGAATATTTACATACGCCTTGGAGATCTATTCAATAATTTTAATGATATTTATTTATTTCATTGTTTGTTTACTTGAACTTTTTGTGCCTGTGTAGTAGTATTTTCTTTAGTCATTTTTACCTTTACTTGTTTATATTTTATCTCTGTTTTGTCTCTTTTTAACTAAAATTTTAAATTGTTTATAATCTATATTCTGTTTTAGCCACATGGTCTGTCTAGCTTTTATTTATTTGAAATTTTAAACTGTTTTTATTATTCCTTTTATATATATATATGCATTGTACTAATTTAATATTTACCATATTTTCTGACGTGTCAAAACCTATTTTTGGTATACGGACAAATAAAGATTGAGATGAGATTGAGCATTGAGGAAGGATATTTTATTCTAGTTTGGGGACGCAACATTCGATGGTTTCGTGATAATTAGAAAGAGCGATAATTCGACGATTCCAAGATAAATGCTTGTTAGGGGAACATAACCTTTCAACTCCCGATGTCACAGTTTTTAAAAGTACGTTTCTGTTGGTTCTCATAGAGAAATTAAATCATAGTCTTTGAAACGGCGTGTGTCCATTCTAATGACATTTGTTTTGCAATTTGGGGTTTTAGATCCACAATTGGCTCCAATTTTAGACAGCGAAAATTGTCTATTGTTTTGTGTCGAATTCCGAAATCTAGGATAACGTATCGACTAACACCAATAAAAAAAATGTATTTCCTTAGATACGACCGGAAATCCGATTCGTTATAATATAAATCGACTGGGTTTCGCCACAATTTTAAATGAAATGTTTTTTTGTCCAGAGACCTCGAGCTACGTGCCGGAATGTTTGGTCGCGACGATTACGAATCTTCTCCTGTTCGCCTTTTTAATTATCAATCATCTGTCGAAGTACTGCAGGTGTAGGAAATATGTGATTGTTGGCGACAACGCCTTGAGGCATAAGTGCTACTATGTCTACGTCATCATCACCTTCGCCTTCCCCACGCTGGACGCGCTCCATTTCGTGTTGGAAGTGATCGGTACGAGGTGTGCGGAAATTTACGGCTTTACGGTAAGCGGTGAGCTCGTCTGCTGCGTTTTGATAAACGGTTTCAGATACTCTCCCTGCTGCTTTCCACCATCATTTTCCCGTACTCTCTGTGCGCATTAGAAACGGGGAAGCTCGCTCATAATGGTGGATGCTACCAGAACGTCGGGTGCCAAATTTGCGTTTTTTGGTGGGCCGTTTTTATTTTTCAAAACTTGTCCCTTGTGAATTTAAGGTAAGTGATTGGAATAGATACGGTAACCAGTAACTTAACAATATGCGAGCACAGATGCATTATGTATAAGACCAAAACGAATACTTTACCTTTTTGTGTATTTTATAATTACTGTAGCCTTATTATTAGATATTGCAAAAGTACATAGTATCGTATTGTCCACAAAAAAGTCGATATTAATGCAATGTGCGATAAAAACAAATATCACAAATTAATACGAAATTTTTGCCCAAATTATTTTTACGGACCAAAAATAGATAGGGTAGGTTAACTGACTATAGTTTTTATTTACTTCGCAAATTGATTTTAAGGACCTGAGTTTACTTCGCATACATTTTAGTTCCTTGTTAAACCAGTTTACAGGATTTTTGGTGTATTATTTGACGAAATTTGACTTTTAAAAGTTAAATACTGACCCCTGTCAGTTAGTCCGGACGACAAACGCGATATCTTTGAAGAATCGTGCACTTTTGTATAGAAGCATGAATTTTTGTATACGACTTACCTATACCCCAACAGTCATTTTAAACATTAGAGCCACTCTGGCTCTCTGCCAGAGGGGGGCGTAGGGTGCCCATTTCAAAACGCCCGTTTTAGCAGTGGTATCCATTCGGTAATACCTCTGCCAACTCGCAACCACTAGGGCTAGAACAAAATTAAAACACGGATTTTGTTGAGCACCATCTTAGCTAAAAAAAATGTTATATTGATATTTACCCTAAATGTATTGAGTGTGGCTTTTTTTTGAGGTCAAAGTTAACCTTGATTGTTTTTCCTACAAAAAGTCGAGAATTTAGGCTTTCTTCACTCAAAATACTGTTTTCATTAATCTCACGTGCTCGTGCGTCCTCGGGCTGCCTCATTCGCGTGCGTGCTCAAGTTTGGACGCGCCTTTATCAACGCATGTGGCAGTGCTCGCAGTGACTCTAGTGTAATCCGCAGTTTTTAAGCCAAAAGATACGGTGACAGACAAGTTATCCTCTTTAGTCAATTTGCTACTAGCGCCATGAGTGACGTTATTCGAAGCCTGTATGGCAACGTCTTTCTAATGGTCTGGGTCTCCTTAGAAACCAAGTCTTCTCTTGCCTTACTACACATTTTTAGGTCATGTTTAAGATCAGAAAGATCCTTGAGGAGATTCTTATTATCTATTTTTAATTGATATACCCTCGGATATACCAAGGCGACCATTCTCGAGTTTTCTTCATTTTCATTTTCCATTGAGGTACTTTCATTTAAATTACTTTCAATTTGGGTTTTAATGCAGAATTCTGTTTTAATTGCAATTTGCTGTTCAGCAATTTCCTTTTTTAGGCAAAAAATTGTATCTTTGGCTTCATCAAGTTCAGTAACCCGCGGTACAATAAAATTAGTGCAATTAACAACCTATTGCAACGTTTCACTTATAATAGCGAAAACTTTTACTTTTTGGACGTAAATCAAGTAGTATCAAAAATGGATTTTGTACGGATCGGCATTCATCTAAACAGGCGTGCTAAAATTAAGCTGTCAAGGGTCCTTGTGCAAAAAATTTCCTTGACAGGGGTGGATAAGGTGTGTCCCATAGTGCAACTCAGTGGCGAACAGGAGTATCCTAACAGGAGATTTTTGGATAAACAAGATTGCGGGAACATTCCTTGAAAAAGTTTTAGTTAGGGAAACAATTTAGTCGACCTTGTGCAATTTACACACTTGGATAGTCCATACAGATAATATAATTGTAGCAGCTCCGGAGGAGATTAATATTGCACTTAAACGTCACAATTTCTTAATTTTAACGGATAATAATAATAATAATAATAATAAAGTTTATTGTAAGCAAGATCTTACAAATGGACAAGGGTTCGCCTGGGTAGGCGATCTACCACCCTTCCAAATATAATCATAATTAAAAGGTGTAACATAAATCTCTTACCAAGCTAATAAAATTAACATTAATCATTGAGTTTATACCTACAGTATTGACAAAAATATATGAGTATAATAATATTTCTATAAACTAAGTATGAAAATAAATTACTTTAAAAAAAAACAAAAAATAAATAAATAAATAAATAAATAAAGTAACCCTAAGATTGTGGGAGTTTTACAATTTCCAAAAGGCATGTTTTGAATTGGTTTGGGTTACAGTTCAGTATATCAATTATTTGATTCAATAATGACACAGCGCTATAAGCAAAACTTCCCTGAAACTTGCTGGTTTTGTGCCGCGGAATTGTGAACGTGTTATAACGCAGCTGCAAGGTATGAGTTTCTGTCCTTTTTTTAAGTTCTTAATAGATAACATGGCTTCTGGGAGTTGATTAGTTTGTACAAAAATATAGCATAAGCATACTTCATTTTTTGTTCAACATTTAATAATTTATACTGATGTAAGTATGGTGTAATATGTTTTTTGAACGGTACTACTGCTACGAAACGAACACAAGAATTTTGCAATTTTTGTAGTTTGTTTTTACATTTCTGCGTCAATGTAGTATAATATACACAGCTACAGTATTCAATGTGTGGATACACTAGAGATTGAATTAAGTTAAGCTTAGTTCTTGCAGATAGTACAGATCTTAAATAATACATGGATTTCAGTTTCATTATAGCTAAGCTGTATGACTTATTTACATGTTTTTCAAAAGTCAGTGCATTATCAAACGTTACGCCTAAATTTTGTACATTATTTTCCCATTTAATAATACAATTATCGATATTTAAAGAATACTTTGTAGTGTCCAACTTGCTTCTATATGCTACATTACAGATACACATTGCTACTGACTTATCCGGGTTAATGCGTAAGCCATTTCTGCGACACCATTGATTAATGTTACACAGGTCTGTATTGATATGACTGACTGCTGCTTCTATATAACTAATATCAAATGACATATATAGCTGTAAGTCATCAGCATACATATGGTATTGACAGTACTGTATTTCATCTATCAGATCACTTACATATATGGAAAATAAAATTGGACCCAATACACTTCCCTGTGGGACACCATTAATTGTAAAGCAAGATCTAGATACATTGTTATTGACTGATACCAATTGTGACCTATATCTTATGTAACTATCGAACCATTCTAAGGTCTTTTCAGTGACTCCTAGAAACCTTAACTTTGCCAAAAGTAGTGTAAAATTCACTAGGTCAAAGGCTTTGCTTTGATCGAGTAATACTAAAATAGTAATTAATGAACAATCCATTGCTACATGAATATCATTTGCTACTGACAATAGTGCTGTTTGGGTACTATGGTATTTCCTATAACCTGACTGGTACTTTGGTAAAAGCTCCTTATCTTCTAAATATTCTTTTAATTGATTAGCTACATGTTTTTCAAGAACCTTGGATAATACAGGAAGAATGCTAAGAGGACGTAATTGCGAAAATTGAGACGGATTTGGAACTTTCGGAATAGGTACAATAATCGATGACTTCCACATCTGCGGAAATGTGTTTGACTGAAATGATGTGTTTACAATATGTAATAATGTTACTTCGATAGAGGGCATGAGAAGATTAAGCATTTTAATAGAGATTCCATCAACACCCATAGCTTTGGATTTTATTGACTTAAAAATGTTACGTAGCTCCTCCAGACTCATACCTCTTATTTGAAATTCTAAATTATCTTTACGTCGGTTTGAATTATAATAATCAATCAAGGTACTATCAACCCCTACGTTATAAGATATGTTAGTAAAGTTTGATTAATGTCATCGGTAGTGGTATTCTCTGGCAAAATAAATGGCTCAATATTAGATTTATGTTTAAGGACACCAAGATTCTTAAGGGTATGCCATAACTGTTTTGAATTATGTTTATTTTTATCAGTTACCATTCGTATATAAACATCTTTTTCCCTTCTCACTGCTTGATTTACATAATTTCTCAATTCAACATACCATTTTCTATCGCTACACTTTTAGTCACTAAATGCTTTTTATGTGCTTTTTGCTTTAACTTTATCATCTTCCTTATTGGATAAGTAACATATGGTAAAGATTTTTTACTACGAACAGGTATTATTGGAGCATGGCAATTAAATAAACAAAGTACATTTTCATTAAATCTATTAATCATACTGTCTAGTAAGTAAGTAAGTAAGTAAGTAATTTATTGTGTTAATACATTTAAAAAATGCTTACACTCGTCCGTCGAAATCGTATAACACATAAAACACATAAAATACATGAGACATATAGAACAATATTAAATAACATGAAAAATCATTTAGAAATAAAACAATTAAACCAAACAAACAAACAAAAAAAAATACAAAAAAAAATATGAACAACAAAAAAAAAACTTAAGGCGTTAAAGTCTTGAGGTCGTTATCTAAAAACTCTTGGATGTTATATATTGGATTTTCGCGTAAAAAAGTTTTAAGTTTCTTGGAAAAGAGTTGTTCATTTAGAGATTGGAAACAAGAAGGTAAACGGTTATACAACACAGGGCCCCAATAATTATGTGCCGCTTGCGACGTTTTTAATCGTAATCTATCATTATATATTTGATTTTTGTTCCGAGTATTGTAAGAATGAACATTTTTATGCGTTATATAATTTGATTTATTTCTATGAACGAACAAAACTCAGTCAAAAATTTATTGTGATGGAGCTGTTAGAATTTGCAACGATTTAAAGATATTGCGACAGTCCTCCCTGTAGCCAGCATTTACAATATTCCGCACACAGCGCCTTTGCATGGCAAACGTTCTTTTCATTGCTGTAGAATGACCCCAGGCAATGATGGCGCAACTAATGATAGAATGTGCAAAGCTATAATAAACGCACTTTAGAACCTTCACAGAAACTGAATTTGACAAATGTTTTAGCACATACGCAACAGATGCCAATTTTGCACAAACTTTATTTTCGTGCTGTCTCCAGGAAAGCCTGGCATCGATCTGCACCCCTAGAAAATTAATGGAGGCTATGTCTTTTCTACCAATATTTCTTAAGGAAAATTGAATTTTTTGTGTCTTACTATCGTTTAT